TTCAAAATTTTGCCCCCCCCCCTCCACCCCCAAATAAGTAAGCTCACAATCACAGATTGCAGACTTCCTGATTGGGGTCCGCGTGACACATCTTGTTTTGAACACTTCCATTGATCTCGTCCCCGGTCAATGAAATGCGGAACCAAAACCGCCACCGGACAGTGAAAGCTTGTGAGAACTAAAACTACTGAATAAAGTACCGAGGGTTGGGTTGGGGGGAGGGCAGAGAAGCCAAAAACGGGACACAGCGGGTAATTCAAGCAAAGGGCATAACAGATCGGATTGGTCACATCACGCAGAATAGGTGTTAGTTGGTGAATGAATGAATGAATCCTGTGTATCACGGACAATCTGATGCCGCGAATAAGCAGGACCGTAATGAGAAACTCGGTCAAACCTAGTAGCACGATAAACTCAACAACGTACAACAACCGACCATTGGTTGAGACGTACAGAGAGAGAGAGAGAGAGGGAGAGAGAGAGAGAGATCAGACGATGAGTACACTACGAGACCACTAGAGATCGAACTGCTCCCGTCGCACACACACACACACACCCAGTTGAAATACTTACCATAGTCAGAATGACTAACAACAAGGGTAGCATGTGATTGCCCATCCAGTAGTGAAGAATAAACTCAGCCAGCTGAGGAACACATCCGCGTGCGAACAGGGTTTCTGGATTTTCCACCAACATATGATCACATGGGGTAGAAGCCAAAGTTACATGTGCGTAGCGCCATTGACAACAACTGAACGGGACACTGTCATTGGTCAATGTGGGCAACAGATAGTGGGCTCGTTCGTTGGCTTTTGCAATACTGAACCAATTGGTAGTAGTAGGGGGCGGGGTGTCGAAAGCAGATATTTGTGAGCAGATTGGTATGAGTGAAAATTATGAAACCAAAAGATGCCGGGAGAAATGATTTATACATACATGCATGCATACATACATACATACATACATACATACATACATACATACATACATGATTCAAACATATCGTTTGAGGGGGAAAACCAAAAACGTCAAAACATATCACATTTAGAGTGTCTGATCCGAACGACGTTCGGAGTGTATCGAAAAATCGTTGCGCTATTTAATATGTTTTATATAAGTTGTAATTTTGAAAAACAGCGATGTCGGTACAGGGGAAAATAAGCCGACGTTTCGGTTACCGTGGCTAACATTTATCAGGGCCATTTTACAATCGAATGAGTCAGGAACAGTTTGTCAACTAAACTCTCACGCAATCTGTATGTGCGTGTGTGTGTGTGTGTGTGTGTGTGCATGCGTCTGCATGAGAGTCTTTGTCCGTGTCTGCGTGAACGTCACCGATCAACTTGGAAAGTTGATGACTCTCACGAAATTCTCAGTTTCCGTCGTGAACCTTATACAGTTACACTGATTGTTCAGAAAATGAAGAAAATCTGTCGTTTGATCTGATTAGATGCTCGCGAAAGTATCCTAAGTGCAGTGAGAGAGTTGGAATCTATAGAGTGCATAAAAAGACTGGCAACAATTGATGATACAGGAGAACCCATCTGAACACCATCAGTCTGGTTTACAATGTGTTTGAACGTAAAATATATGGAAGTGAGGCATAGTTTCAGATTGCCATGTGAAAATCAGTAAATTTCATGCATTTCAAACAAGCATTCATAGAAAACCAACCCAATCAAGTCAAGTCAAGAAGCGGCTTTAATTCTCCCTTAGCAAAGAAAAGAAAAATTGAGACAAACTAATGCCACACAGCTCAACAAACGCGAACGAGATTCGCCAATCGCACTTCATGCCATCGCAGAGAAACATCGCAACGACTATAAAAACACAACCACAGACATGGACACCGAATAACATGCAAACGCACGCACGCACACACATGCACACATTGCGTGAGAGTTTAGTTGACAAACTGTTCCTGACTCATTCGATTTTAAAATCGCCCCGATAAAGGTTAGCCACGGTAACCGAAACGTCGGCTTATTTTCCCCTGTACCGACATCGCTGTTTTCAAAATTGCAACTTATATAATATCGCATTTATTCCATTTTTCTCAATATCTAAGGCAATAAGCTGACAATTGGTCCCTTAGTCATCCGATGAACCGGAAACAATGGAAACTGTGCTTCACTTTTAAATTTTTTATTGTAGCGTAATCGCCCAGTAGAAGAATAATTCAGTTACAAACCTATTGTCCTCAGGTGGTACGAAATCTGTTAAATGTTAGTGGTATAGTACAGCCTTAGCTGGTCCAGCACGCAGTCTCACCGTGACCGGGTAAGTAACAGGGCAAGCAAACAAGTTTTCTTATTTGGACAGCTATGTTCCATCCGATAGACGCATCACGGATGAAGTGTCAGCTCGCATACAGAGGGCTAAGTTGGCATTCGCCAACTTAAGATATCTGTGGCGCAGTCGTTGTTGTGGCCTGCAGTCGAGTGATGTGCCTATCACGTGATTGACCGTTGCGGCTCGCCACCACACACACGTACGAACCTCATGTGGACTTACTCGATTACAAGGTCGATCCACCTCAACGAATCAGAGGTCAGTATTGACCTGTCCGCATTGATTAGTTCGTTGGCTGTCCAACGTGATCATATACTCCTTTTGGTAACACTTGGGCCAGTTCTGTGCCTGCCTGTCTGCGTGTTGACGCACTGCTTGCTCACCGGCTTGCGCACCAGGTACGTTTGCATTTACATACTGGAAATAGAATATGTACTTAATTCACCACTTGCGTACTTATTGACTTA